GCGACGTATTGCTATCACAACGGGTGGCTTGGTTCGCCTGGGGATCCTTCCGGGAGCGGCCACGTCGAATTGGTGAAAGGCAATATTGGCAATAATGATACATATATAATATATATATATATTCTGCACTTTGTCTCAAGCAAGTATAGACAAGTATAGCATAGTATTGTAATGTTTCAATCATGATTTCGTTCTCGGTGCGACCTGATATGCATGTTTGGGTCATCACTGAGTGAATGGCACAGGACCCAGTCATTCACCACATGTGGTCAATGGTGAAGCGAGTGCCAAGATGATCCAGGAGACGGCTTCGGCAACTGCTATAAGAGCAACTTTCCACACAAGGATGTCCATGGATGGCAGAAGTGTGGTCATTCCACCGACATGGTATCTATAGTCCGACCAAACATGGACAACTACTGTTGGACGGAAGAAGTCCTTCACCACCTACGATGCTTAAAAACACTGTAAACCTGTGGATTTTAACATCTCCAAGTGCACGTTTTCTGCAGGCCAGCAGTGTTGATTAAATCCTACAGGGATTCCTGTTTTGCCTCTCAGTAGAGGTCTTGACAGCAGTTTAAAGAGCATCATATTCTTGGAAGCTGCACTAAGTGACAGCGCCTTTGAAGCATACGTTTGGTGGGGTGGTGGACTTTTGACATTGCATTTTATTGTCGCACGGCTTTGAATAAATCCAATGTTTTTCCCATGTATACGCGTCCGCGTACACTTGTAGGACACACCAAAAGCAATGGAATGTGAAATCTTTGAAGACACGTTTCCTAGATTCTTCAGACAGTGTCGTGCCTTTGGGAGAATAACTTCCATTTCGTGCTTCCCATGCAGCGGTTGATCTCTTCCGCCCCAGGTGGCTTGGAGCTGAGTATCGCGCCCTACAGTTCGACTTTGACGCGATGAAGGCTAAGGCTGACAAGTTTTGTGAGCAGCGCCTCAAGCTAACCAAGAACATGACCTTGGCCGAGACTTAGATAGTACTGCTGGGCTGGGCGCGGGACTGCTGGGCTGCGGTTTGCGCTACTTTTGGTTTGTACAACCGAACTGATCGCAGATGTTGTGCAGGTGAGCGAAAACATGTGACGGATCAGAGCATGATCCAGGCCTGTGTCCATCAAGGGTTGTTTGCTTACAGACAGAACCTAATGCAGCTGTGCTGTTTTTCATGGATATTCCGAATATTCCCGGTTCCGCTTTGTCATGACAGACGGTTGCAGAAATTTGTTGTACCTGTTGCACGCTGCTTACACAACTGCATCCTACTAGTATAACATTTAAAGGGTCTATTACCTGACTCTAAATACACACACATATCACATATCATATAATTACACACTTTCACATATAGGATCTACTTGGGATAAGACGAGAATCTCAGAAGCTGTGGTCACCAAAATCTTCAGAGGCATTTCTAGCGGCCAAGCGACTCCCATCATCCGTAGATCATGGCCACTGGAGAAGAGCCCTGCAGATCGCCCTAATTTCACAACCAGTGAGTCCACCCTCTGAGTCCGACCTCAGGATATGATGGCGGTTTATGGCCCGTCCTTCATGCGGGGAGAGCCCAGCAAGGAGGATGCGCTCTTCTTGGGCGCCTGGACCTGCGCGATGGGTGCCTCTGGATGTGACATGACGTACTGTGCTTACAGCCGCTGGGTCGCACGGGACTTGGGACTCCCAGCGGAGTTGGCCAGAGGTCGAAATCGGAGAAACCGCTGCCCACAGACAGGCCCAGAAGCAGTTGTTGCTCTCGACTGGTAATACTGGTACAGGTTTGTGTGCGTGTCCTTGTATCAGACTTCAGAAGCATGATTCTTAATGCTTTTTATATCTCTTTATTGGTGTGTGTATATATATATATATTATACCCTTTCTGTTGTTACCAAGCCATCGGTGTTGACTCTGAGGCCTACCATGCCCAAAGACATGTGAAAAGCAATACCCATGCCCAAAGCAACCTGGAAAAATGGACGGCCTGCTGTAATCTGTTTGGGTTCATGAGTTTTCACACGAAAGCTGGAACCACTGGGGAAGGCCTTTGGGGTCTGGGTGAAGTCCTCCTTCGGCGTTTCGGGGTGCTTGACATTCCAAACGCTCCTGTCTTTTCAAATTCCCTCGATTGGATGGAAACACTCCAGCCAAGCCGCAGTCCTCTTGCAATCCTTTTGCAAACTTTATAATCCTCAAATTTATAAGTCCCTTTTCCGAATCTCCTACCACCTGGCCGCGCTTTTCCGAGGCTATTGCCAAAAGCCTGACGGGTCCTTTGGTGCCTATCACGAGTGCGAGGGATGGGATCCTGAGAAGGGCATGCCTGTCAATTAGGCGCCAACAGCGCCGCTCCACCACACCGTGAGGCGCCCATCAAATGAGGGCGGTTCTTTTGCGTCGCAGGCAGTGCGCCGACCGTGCGGTCCTCGGGTGAGTCGGGCCGAAAAAGGACTGGTGAGATGGAGTGAGCGGGTCCTTTCCCATTCACCAACTGGGTCCAAATCGCTGGCCGCACAGTCGACACAGCCAGGATTTGCGTTGGGATTTGCGTTCGGATCCGCTAGGCTATTAGATCCAGAGCCTAGTGGATCCAGTGGATCCGTCTGATTCCGATGAGTCAGGTCCTGGTGTGTTGAACGGACCACCCCACCGTTGAAGGGACCGATCTGTTGCACTGAGTCCCAAGACCGTCGTTGATCCGAAGCAGTGGCCTTGGCACCCCCCAATACATGGTTTAGCAATGAAGAGCTAGGGTTTCTAAGCTAGTCATGAAGAATTCTAATGGATTTTCTACCTCAATGCTGGTGATCTTGCTAGAGTTGCATGGTGCAGGATGTTGTCCATTGGAGTCTTCTTTTTCAGCATCCAACAGAATCAACAGATGTGGTTCAAGAAAACCCAAGACAAAGTGAACATCGACAGAGATCCGTGTTTCGACTTCTGCCAAGTTGGGGCGCCAAGAGGATGTATGACCCACACCTTCAGTTGCGAATCTTGGTGATCAAACATAAACAGGAACAAGACAATGCTCCCGACCAGGAGTGCACTACTGATGAAAGAAGTCATGTACCACCTGTGATAAGGAAGTCCATGGTTTTTGCGGTGTTTGGTGCATAGGTAGTGCATGATCTTTTTCATCAACTTATTGTAGGTATTTGATGGTCTTTGTTTCGTCCCACCAGAGGAAACCAGGCATTGTCGATGTGGGAGGGTGGATGCATCCGAATGACGAAACGAAACGAACCGCCGGAAATGACTTCAGCTTGATCGCTGCGAGCATGAACAGTGAACCTCACACAGAAGACTATCACATGCTTTGAACGACATTTGAGAAGAAACACATAGCTGGCTGGAGTTTGAGGCAAACAAATGAGCAGGGCCTGGTTATATTCCTCAGTTGGGGGGCGATCAAAGGAGCATATGCAAGGGGGTTAAGTGCCAGACAGAAAAGCAACATATGTTTCCTCACCTTGCTCTGGCAATATTCTGGCGATTTTCCCTTTGCAGGTTCCATACATAGAATTGGCAAGCATTTGTAACATACCTGCAACAGCGGTGCTACGGGATGAAGTAGGGCATTTGCAGTCGGCGCTGCAAGGCACTGGATGTCTGCCTCGTAAACCGAGAGGTGAAAATGAGAGCCAAGCTCATCTAATCGCCAAATCAATTCAAATCATTCTTTTCGTGAATGTTCATGAATGTTCCACAGAAACACGTGACACCGGTCTGGGATTGTTCCTCCTGAAACCGGAGCTGATATTCCGCATGATGCTTTTTATCTTCACCTTTCACCCGTCAACCCAGCAAAACGATCAAAACAGCAGCTTCCAAACTGCTTGCTTCTCGTATGGGCCTGGTGTGCTGTGGCTCCGACCAAGCTGTGGACAGACGTTTGGAGCGCATGGCGAAGTTCGGGATCCACAGATGGGGACGATGACCGTTTGTGGACGTCGACAGTGGATCGCAGCTCGCGACCCCATTGAGGATACCCCGAAAGAACCTCGAAAAGCTGATGAGATGATCAGACCAATAGTACAAAAATGGTACCATTCAAATGAAACATATTGAAATCAAAAGCTTCCCCAGAGCATGGTAAGTAGCTTACTGTAGATCAGTGATGATGTAGGAGCAAAAAACACATGTCATGGCCGACTCTTCCAGTCGCTTGGCCCTCCAGTCGCTCGGGTGGTCGTCACAGAACTTCTGGCTTTGAGCCACGGACGTGGCGAAGCAAATGGAGTTGGCAGGCTGAATCAGCCAAGAAGTCCCTGAAGTTCCTCGTGTCATTTCAAGAAGTACCAGTACAGTACTACAGATGTCCAATTTAATGGTCAGAAACTCATGGCCACAGTGAAGCTCTTGGTATTTGATGGATAGCCTGGAGCTATGGTTGATGACGCATGTTCACAATCTAATTTTTTATTTGTTTCAGATTTCATCATTGAGGTTGTCAAACCCATACCGAGACCATCCGAAGGTCCCCAATGGAAGCCTACCAGCTTATCAGTTCTCAGAGTATACGGTAGCCAGGTGGCCTCGGACGGTGCCTGCTAGTCTCATCCCTTGCAGAAGCTTAGTTTGGGAATAGAAGCGGGAACATTTTTGTCTCAGGGCTGAGCAGAGACTGGCCGAACTGAGCCATTGGTTTAGCAAAGCTCACTGGCAACAGAGTTCATGCCGCGCACAACCCAGCATCGTATCTAGTTGCTTCGATTTGAAGACGAGACTGTCAACCATGCATGCATAATATATATTCAGTCTTGAATGGCCCACGAGTGCTAAGAAGCAGACTTTTGACATCCTACCTTCAAAGCAGAGTGTTAAGCAGTTCATTTTAGGAAGCACATTTCTGGTGGTTTCCGAGATAGAAGGTGTTCCAGAAATACCATTCCAAAGCGAATAACACGCAAATCACCACCTGAGGCCAGCCATAGACCGTTTGGTCCTTCTGAATCGCTCTATCCACGACACGACACGACGCTACTGTCGCCATGAGCTTCTTCACACGAAAGAAGAAAGAGAAGCCTGCGGCTCCGGCGGCCACGACGAAGTACGAGGCCTGAAACGTCTGAGAAAACTGGAAGGGAGACGAGTTTTAACTAAAGGAGGGTTGCGATTAATGTCTCTGCAGTAATGTCTTTAATTACAACTCCTTCTCTTTGATGAACGGGGTGTTGATGAAGATGGGGGATGAAGGAAAGGAAGCGAACACGAGCTTCTAAATGAACAGATTTGAAGTGTTGATGATGAAATGACATGGAACTCAAAAATATGCTTAAAGAAAAGAATAACAGGTAAGGCCGGCCTTCTTTGAAAAAGCCCGCTTTAAGCATGTTCTTGATTTCCGTGATGTTCCATGTGATTTCACCATGTTTCACCACGCAGGTAGGAGCCTCCGCTTCACCCAGTATGGCAGTTGTGTGTTTTTTTCCAGGAGGGACTGATGGACTCCGAGTGTTCACTCGTCTTTTTTTAGGCGGTGGAACATGTCAACCTCTAACTGGATCTAACATGATCCAACTAGGTGATTGCCGGACTGTTCAGTATACGATATCTTTAGAGTAGCTATACATAGCTATACAATGTATATATATATATAAGTACCATGCATTAAGTAATCCGTCTTCCCCATTCAACTGATGTAGGCCCTGCTGGTTCTCTCCTGGCTCCACATGGGCCGGAAAAAAAGGACCAGTCTGTTGCAAGGCTGTCAGCAAGGAGCCCGAACCGGTGAAGGAGGAAACCGACCCGGTGAAGGACGAGGCGAAAGAGGCGCTCTTGGCTGACGAGGCAGGCCCGAGCTGAGGAGTCAGCAGACTGGGGTCTCTGTCTCCGTAACAAGTCGGTCTTGGCTTACAACAAGCAGCTTTGGCATCAAACATGGCGTACCTACATGGTAGTAACAAGTGCCACGCTACTAGGAGCAAGTGCCTTACTAGTAGTAACAAGAAGCTATTAGGAACAAGTGCCACGCTACTAGTAACAAGTGCATCGCTAGTAGTAACAAGTGCCTTACTAGTAGTAACAAGAAGCTATTAGGAACATGTACCTACATATTTCACCTCCCCGTTTGCACCACCGGCAGGCGCCCGAGTCGCCGCTCACGGAGCCCATGGTGCCGGTGCAGACGCGGGAGCCGGACCCGCTGAAGCCCACCTTGCCGGACCCCCAACGCAGCGCATGGGGCGAAGGGGGAGAAGGGAAGGACTGGCATCTTGTTACCTGAAGAAGAGCTGTACTTAGAGCGGTTTTGGAGCATGTTTTTGAAGGTTCCGGAGGTGAAAGGCAAAGGATGGAGGTTTTTGGCCCAACAAAACAGTTGCTTCAACCAGTGAGGTGGATAAGGTGGATTCGGATTGGGTGTTTCAATGAACAGATGTGGTCACAAGTAGGTGAACATAGCTGAAGAGGCAGATGAGCTGTTTCGCAAGCTTGGGAACCAGGTCTATATGTTCTATGCAAGGCACTTGTGTGAACTCGAACGGAAGCAGCAAACCTGGGGAAAGTGGAGAAGAGGGGACTTTGGCTGCCACTGTAAGAGGAACTTGAGCATAGTTTGGTGAGACTTTGAGTGGCTTTCTCAGCGGAGTTTTGGGGCATGGTTCTTGTGTATGAGGTAAGGGTCTAAGCCTTTGTGTTGTTCTTGATTAGTACGGAGTTCAGCAGGAGAAGCAGCTAGCACTGGATTCAAGACAGAAGGGAAGCAGACTTAAGCATGCCAGAGATAGTTGATGATATATAGTTGTACCTCTATGGACAAATGGCGCTGGCAAGTGTATACGACAAACTCTCACATGTTGTACCCATTTGTGAGGCAACGAGTTGAATGGTGACTGTATATTTAAACATTCAAAAAATCAACACAAGCACCATAAAACACCTGGTCCTTTTAGCCCCCTTTTTTGTGTGTGATCAGATTGGCGGCAAGTTTGGTTCTTTGATATCCATTTTGGGATTTGCTTCATCTGACCCCCGGGGGAGTTTCCGACGCGGCATATGGCAGGTGGCTTTAGGTGGTGATGGACCACTTGTCCTTTGGTCAGAGGCTCCAAAGATCTGAAAAATATGAGACGGGCTTCTTGAAAGGAGGTGATCATGGTTTAGTGGCATAACAAGACCTGTTGGCCCATCAAGTCCACACACTGAGCTCACGTGACATTGAATAACATGGCTGTTTCGTACGAATAACATTGAATAACATTGCGAAAGCAACGCACTGAGTGTGCAAAGACATTTTGCATTGTGTTATCATATGTTAGCATAATTGATCACTACTTGTATTCGAAATTATGACCTTTGCAATAACTAAGTTTATGTAGAAACCATGTGAACCTATAGATCTTGGGATTTTATGAGTTTATCATGTTTGCTTTCCCAAGCCAAATTGCGCTGCCGAGGTTAGGAGATAAAGAACCGGAGGCCGTGGCGAATGCCAAGGCCAGGCGAACAATTGCTTGGGATGCACATAGCGGTTCCCACTCGACCTAAATCTAGGCCAAGGATGCCCAAAGAATCGTCAAACTTTATGTTTTTCATGTGGAGGCCATCGCTATTTGGTTGGAGGCCATCGCTAGTAAGGTGGAGGCCATCGCTATTAGGTTGGTGCACCTTATAGGCAGGTGCCTTCTTTGGGGGAATTCCCACAGGCAGAATCCCACGGAGATTTCGACCTGAGAATCCCAGCTCGTTCGAATCGGTTTCTGGATGTTTCAGGAACTTTCTTTGTCTGAAAAACCACCCCGCATGCCAACCTAGTTCTCTTCCCACGTCAGTGAAGGTGTTCAGTGAGTTTTGCCCGGGACGGTTTCACTGGCGGGAAGCCAGCAAGATGATTCAGAAACCGGGTCCATGGGAATACGGATCCTTGGGTAGGTCAAAGACCACCTGGAAACCTGTGCCGGACCGGACGACCGTCGCACGTTCATGTCGGACAGACGACCGTGACGATGGCAAATCCCCGCCTTGATAGACTCTTTTGGACGTGGTTTTGATGTGCAACCATTCAACACTTGTTTATATAACTGTCTACTCTTGAACGAGACGCCTGAGGCCTTCAACTCACAGCCATCTCCCCGAATTCCCTCACAGAAATATCTAATTCGTCGTGGACAGCTCCTACTCTACCCAAAAGGCGACCGGCGGGGGATGGCCGGTTCCGAGGATCCCAGGTAGAAATATTATGACAATCTCCAGCTTTTTAGAAGTGCTCTCAGGTTCCTAGGCCCAGAGGCCTGACCAGTGTAATCTGGGTCACCTTGGTGGTTCCACTTTCACCAGTTGATCCACTTTCTCAGAATCGTGAATGTGAGCAAGCCCACCCCCTGTCACCGTCCGCAGGCTGCACCTCAAGGGCCGCAAATACCTGAGTTGGCCAATGTTGAAGACAAGGCGGTGGTGAGGAAGGAGAACATTTGCTGATCCCGCGCGGACGTCCGAGGTGTTTCAAATTTGTTGTGGCACAGATCGGCACGGCCATCGACCATCAGTGGGCAGTTGCCTAGCGAGTGCTGGAGAGCTTGTATCTCAAACAAGTGATTCAACACGAGCGGGTTGAATTCCTCTATGAATGATTCAACATGATTCAAAAGTTCAAAAGCCATAGGTTGGGGGGGCCCGAGATGTGCAAGGATGTGCCATACGTACCGATCAAGAACTCTCATTTGCAGGAGTTCCAAAAGTCCGGGTGCCAGTTGGAATACTGTACCCAAACACTCCATGGGACTAAAGATGCCTACGTTGACCCCCAAACCACCCCAATGTAGGCAAATATTGCAGTCCCATTAGTCGTGTCTGGGATATATTTGGTGTCCATTTTTGTTACACATGGAACTCCTTGTTCTGGTCGCCCCCTCTTTATCACCGGGATAAACAGAGGTTCGAGACCAGAGGCTTTCATAGTCGACACATGTCCCGGCTGGTGCTCAAAAGTTGTACCCTACCAATTTTCACACATAACTGGGGTTGTCCTTTTTCCACGGTAGAGGTTTGTACCAGTTTGGCAAATGTCCTTGGTTTGATTATCCTGCACTATTGCTCTTGACAAGATGGAGCCAACCCATGACACTTTGCCAACCGGTACATTTATGTCATCAAGTCAACACGGAACATGGACCTTTTTCCTCTACAAACGGGTGGTATTCGTGACTCAGAGTGTAGGTTCCCTACCTTTTAGGGGGCCAACAACGCATGCCTGAGGAGCCTGAGAGTCCAGCCCGGGGGCCTTTCATGACCGAAGAACACGAGCGAGGCACGGAGTCGACGGGGGCCTTTCATGTCCAAAAGGTCTACTGGATGCACTTGTTACTAGTAGCTTCTTGTTACCAGTACAGTAGCTTCTTGTTAC